GATGATTCTTAAAAAATATTTGGCATGTAATCAATGTGTATTTAACACATGTCCTCTGTTTGGAGGTATAATAACCCCAGTCACCTCCTGCAAAAAGAAAATTATCCAATATTTATTGTCATGTTTGGCTGACCATGTCCATCTAGTACCTCTCTGATTATCGCAGTGTTGGAAGAGACATATGTGTTGAAAACCATAGTCAGGTGAAGAGAGAACAGAGTGAAGAAACCTATAAATATGGTTCCTACTCCAATAACCATTGAACTGACTAAGGTGGCTTTTCAAAACTTGATTGTCTGCAGCTTAAAAAGGTCAAAATTGTGCATGTTCAAATTTCATGCCAGGAAAACTCTCATATTTTTTTAAACACTATACACTCTAAAATTATTATAATAGTTAAATGTTAATTATATGCATTTAATAAGTAGAAAATTAACATGCCACTTACTGCAATTCTCATGACAAACACTTTCAGATCTTTACTTGCTGAATTTTGTCATAGGTAGGAATTCAGCCCTATTTATTTCAATTACTTGATTTGCATCTCTCTCCTTAAAATGTGTAATGCTTTAATTTACCATACAGATAGAAGTTGAATACAATAACTTCAAAAACATTTTTTGCATAGATAAAGTTTTCTCTACAACATAAAAAAACCCCAAAACTAAGGGCATATTCTGTCTGGGGTATATACACCCTGTTTATTGCTACATATCTCAAATCCTCCAATGCAGGTGGTGTGAGCCCAGGCATGCTGGAAATGGAAACCCAACCTATGAATGATCACGTAATACCAGAGAAGTAATATGAGATGCATTACTGCATTAGTACAACTGACTAGAGTAGATTTTCCATCCGCTCTCTGCATGAACTTATTTTCTGCCAGTTGCGCCTTGCTTTTCTGCAGTTTTACTTACACTGTTTTGGCAAGGGGCTCCTTGCAGAAGACTTCCTGTTTTCCTGTGTACTCCTCATAGTATCTTGCAAAGAGGTCATCTTGCCTGAAAACACCCTCCTCCAGCAGACTCTTTGGCTATAGAGGATGGTGCCTGTGTAATACGGTATATCCCTTTTCCGACAGGTGGTACTGGGCCATTATAGCCAACCAGGCTGACTTCAAGCTCACCAGTTTACTCATCTCATCAAAGGACCTGAGTTCATGTCACATTTCTTCTGAATATCATGCCCTTTCATCCCTATTCTCTAACAGCAACTCTTTTTTTTCTGTTTTTTTAAGCTCACTTTCAGCTGCTCTGTGATTCAGTCTCTTTTTCCATGGGGAACTTGTAAGTCCCATTCTAGTTTACTACGTTTCAGCTTGTGTAACTCAACATCACAGCATGCATCTGATCTCAAAAAAGGGAGTTGAGAATTTATTAATTTTTTTCTTATGCAAATACTTTCTCACATGCATACTGAATTGCAGGCTGCAATCCTATGTGGAAATACATCTATATTACTGGAAATATTATTAACTGAAAGTAACTATACTTTCCTCTTCTCCAGAAAGAGAAAAAAAAAAACCACAGTCTAGTCCAGAGTTCAGTGATTCAAGAGATAGAAAGGTATAATGAAGATTCAGAGAGGTGAATTTTACTTGCATTTACCCACTTCTTTGTTAAATCTGACCACTTCCAAACACAGCAGTGTTTTAAGATTTTCAACAACAAATCCCCTCTCACTTCAGGGGAAGTGAAAACCAGTGGTATTATTTTCAGCAGGACTGCCTCTATAAACTCACCAGCCCAACACCCAGGACTACATATTGCAGAGCCAGTCCTACCAGTGCTGTAGTAGTCCTAACCATGAAGCCCAAACTGAGATTTAAAATGTCCCAAATTCAGGGATCATTTAGATCCAAGAATATGATTTCTCATATGTTTAGAGAGTGAAATCTTGGAACTGCAATGAGCTTCAAATATAGGTCAGAACTAAAAAACCAACCTCATCACAGATTTCAAGAAATGAAGTTCAGAGGCAGCTCTCCTGTTTGAATTTATTGCTTTTCCTAACTGGATAATATGCTTGGTCTTTATGGCAGACCATTGATACTCTTACTTCTCTAAAATGGGAGCAGAAAACTCCTATCTTCTTCCAGACCTGACTCCTATGAATACAGCTAGTGCTGCTTATAAGCAGAAGCTTCTAGAGGCTGTTTAGCCAGTCTTTAAAAGAGATGTCATGTTTCTCTCTCAGCTTCCCCAACAGACATATACAGTGATCTACACGTGTGCAATAGGTCTGCATATGTACAGCAGCTATGTCCGGGGTTATTCTTCCTCCTGTCTCTGCTTTCTGACTGGTTGAAATTAAAAAGTAGAATAACCAGCATCTAATGTCAAATTCCTATTCCTGCTCTCTGATGGATCTACTACTGACTCTGTAGCCAACTTAGAAGCTTTCAGGAGAGAATAAGCAGCTGCTTTGGGACTAGTTTGGAAATGGATGGGAACTGGACAGACTCTTGGCCTCATCTCTCAGTACCAGCCCCAATATACAAGCAGGCGGAACAAACCCAAACCAGAAAGGGAAGTAAACCGGACCAGGAAAAGGACAGGAGAAGCTTATCCAACCCTGGCAGGAATTCATAGCAGTGGTGGCAAAGGCTCTGTTTAATCCTAAAGATTAGATCTTGAAGTCATTCCTTACTTCTTGTTCATGGAAAACATTTGCTAACAGCAAAAATGCCCAAATATTTTTTTTTTTTTTTTTTTTTGAATGAGCAGAAATCAGTCCCTGCTGCATTTCTGTGCCACTTTACACATCCAGGATACAACTAAGTTTTTTTCAGATGCTCTGAGCAGTTTGGTAACAGCTTATTTTTCATCCCATTGATGTGCACCTATGAGCTTTTACTGGCATCAGAAATTAAATTGCTGCAGAAACTTTTTCTCCTGGTATTTCCAGCTGCAGTGGTAGTAGTGAAAAATCTCCAAGGCTGACAACTCTAGCATGATTTTCAGCCAGTTCTGTGGGTTGCAGGGGTTAAGGGAATTCAGATAAGGCTATGAACTTGTATACAGTTATCTGAATCTTACTTGCAAAGTTTTCAAAGTTCATCCATCATCATAATGGATCCTGTGGGATGTTAGTGGACTCTGGGGCACATTAACCATTCTCCCAATTTCATAACACTAGGACTGGTGAGTATTGTTAGATATTGTAAGACATCATTTGCCAGCCTGAAATGTGGTATTTATATAAATACGTCTGGAACTTACAATATGTCTGAGGGGCTAAATAAAAAATAACCAAAGGTTTTCAAAGAGCAGTGTAAATTCAGGGGTGAGGCAGGCACTGAATTTTGATGTTACATCTGTGTTTGTCTAAGTATACTTTTGGTCATGAAGAAGAAGCTGGGATATTTCTGTGAAAAGATGCCCATATCTTAACATTCTTCCTAGAAAAATAAATAGCAAATTTCTGTGTCTCCTGAAAGGGAGGTGGTATAAGAGCATGTGTAAAATTAACTTTGAAATGCTAGGTGTTGTTTTTCTTTTGCAGTCTTTCAGTAGTATGTGCTCCCACCTAGGAAGGTTAATACAGGCATCTGTTTGCTCTTTTTAGATGTACTGATATATGAAAAGACTCTGTGTGGGAGATGGGCTTTTGTTTGTTTGTTTGTGTTTATTTCAGTGTGGGGGAGGTGAAGGCTATTTTAAAAATAGTGAGTTCCAAATGTGTTGTTCATTCATGAAGCTGTTGCTGTGTTTCATCTTCTTTGAAGCTCTGGGGTTTTTTACTTACCTGATTCTTTGTAGGTTTAAATATTTGCTGCAAATGCCACTTTTATTAACGAAAAGAAAAAGACAGTATAAACCACTTTGTCTTACATAAGAGAAAAAGCCATAGGCACTGAAAACAGGAAACTGCATAAGAAAGGGAGAGAAAGAAAAAGGAAGGGAAATGGAGAGTTCTCTGTGATTTTTCCAAACTTAAACCACTGTGCTTTTATTCCCATTATTCTCATGGTCATAGATACCAAAGCCATAAATATGTAGATAAGGAAGTACAGACCACTTTTACCTATAAAATATGAGGCTATCCTTAAGCCCCTATCATGAGCTTTGAGTGTAGTGATACAAAATTAAATCTTTTTTTTGTAGCACCTGAAGCAACCACTACTGAAGTGAGTGGGATCTGTACACTGAGGGACTTGAATCTGAGCTGGATCAGACCCATGAGCCACACCAATTATGTTTCTCCTGGCAGCTAAACTGACATGCCTGTCTGCATAAAGGACTCAAAAATGATGTCTTATCTTTGAAAACAACACAACACCTCTGTATTCTGATCCTAATGATGTTCCTTCACTGCATTTTTATAGGGACAGAACATCAGCCCTGATACTATATATGTACCTGTGAATATTATTTTTCCTTAACAAAGCATGTTAGCATAGAGACATAAATTATTTGCACCTCACAAAGAACAATTTTACTCATAGGTGTTATGGAGAGTTCAAATTTTGTGAAATGACAGCTTTCCTTAATAAATATTTAAGAGTTGTGGGTTTTTTTCAAATAAGTTCATTTCACAGAAATACAAATTGTTGGATCAGCATAGCTGTTTTGTTTTGTTTTCAACTGGATCATTTCACAGATCCTGTTTAGGGTGCAGCCATGTGACAACTAAATCAGTATACTGGAGAGGGCTGCAATGTGTACCAGTGGTAAATGAGGCCTCCTGTTTAATTAGGTCTGATGGTACCAGAGTAATGTGGATCAGAAGTAGCTTAAGCCATAGATACAAACGTGATAGGTGATACCTTGAGTTTTTCTCGGTGAACACCCTGGAATACAGTGTTGACCTATCCTTGCACATTAGCAATGTCCGTTCTTCCTCAAACTTTGGCTACTTGAAAATCTTTTGATTTTGACATTTTTACAATGTGTTTTTGGATATGTCTAGTTCCAAAACATACACAGACGTATCATAGGACAAGGACAGGGATACTATCACAGAGTCTTTAACTAAATATATCGTGTGGTTTTTTTCAGAGGTGCGGAGAAATCTCATTTGATAGTCCTGACCAGAATGCCAAATGTGTTCGCATGCTAGGTAAGGCTAAGAGTTTTTTTTCCCTTTTGATATGAGAAGTGTGTGAAAGTATGTTTAATTGGGGATTTCTTCTCAAAAGCACACGATAATGGCCGTGATGATTCACAATGGCATTTACATAGCTCATCCACATGTACTCCTCATTAATATATTCTTTACGGTGAATTTTCAATTATTGAAACAAAGTATATATATATTCCAGTAGTGCCCATCTGCATAGATGAAAATATAGCTGTACCAGCACTATAGTTGTAACCCCTGACGTACTCAAGTCCAGAACTCATATTTGAAAGCTGAAAATCTGTACTTTGAAAGAGAGTATTAATTTCACAAATATGTATCAAAAGCCTCTGGGTCAGACCTTCAGCTGCATCAATCAGCAAAATTTCAATCACTGTGATTTTACAGATTTGCGCTGGTGTAGCACTTTGCCCATCATTTGTAAAAATTAATATTAAGTAGAAGTGTCTATTCTTTGGAAACAATACAGGAATGTTCTGCTATGTTTCTTTAATTTCTGTGACCAATTTTATTGTATTTGCTTGTTTCACCTACAATGCTAGTACTGAAACATTAACAGCACAGCTAGTATCACAGTGAAACACGGGGAGTAAATGTCTAAAAACCTAAAAGATAATCTTTACTGAGAAAAAATGAAATCATAGAACACTTGCAGGATTACACTTTAAATTCTGAAGACCTTTCAACTGCCAGGGTTGAGATAAATGTACACTGTAAATTAGAGCATTGCATCTAATAACATGAAGACTGAAATAGTCACAATTTTAAAAACTGCAACTGGCAACATGTAGGAACTTAATTCCCATCTGGCTGCATAGCTGTGTTCTGTAATAACAGATTATGTGGTTTGTTGTTTATATTCATTAAATCCTATTGTCACAATAGACTATAATTGCTGCAGAGGAAATCTGTCATGCTTATAGTGCACAGATCCCAACAGATGAACTGACACAATGGGCCGTAATGATCTGTTACATCAGTGATCCATGGTTAGAGGTTCTTAATGGAACAAGCTGACAGAAAAGATACACTTGTGATCCTTTATCATGCCAATTATAACCTACAGCTTAAATACCATTGGGTTCATAATACTGTAGTTCTAAGGAAGTTATATCCATGCAAATGTTATTATCCATTAGGGGAAAAAAAAGGAGGGGTGGAAGAGGGGACAACAAAAAAATTACCTGAAGATGAAAGTCTTCTGCACAGGTTCGTTCACTATTTGGTTTGGCATTTTTATAACAAGTCAGTTCAAAACTGGGAGTTTGGCACCATCCTTAATGTAAATGATTCTTTAGGAGCAGGGAGCAGAACAAGATCTTGTTTCCATTGCATATATTCTTATCTATGTCTTGTAGTATATGCATATGCAAGAATGAGAACATATGTTAGGGTCTGTAAGGAAACTGCTAGGAATGTAAAAATGACTCCAAAGGGACATGCCAAAGGTGTGACTGGCTCTCAGAGGTTACATCTCTTGTATTTAAAAATATTTCGCCTGCTCTTATTATTTTTCAGTGTCTCTAACAAATTAAGGACTGTAGTGTCATATATAATATAGGATATTAGATTTCACCCCAAGGTATCTCATAATGTACAGAGCTGAGATTATTCTAAGTGCAAGTGGATATCCCACAACTGGCTATGTAAGAGGTATAGGAAGTAGAAACTAGCATTATATGGTTGGTCTGAGGGCAACAACTGGAGACAAACTCCACTGTCTTGATCTATCACATAAATGTGTGTGGTTCTGGTAGTGCTAGAAAGCCAGAGGGTGTCCATTCTGGTACCTCTCCTTTCATACTGAGCTCTGTGCAGAAGAGCAGGAGCCAGAGAACATGCAAACTAAAAGGTCTCAGACTTTGTGCTGAATGCGTCATGTGGCGTCCAATTTCAGATTTTACAAGGGAATTGAATTTCCAAGAGAACGAAACACAAAGTTTGTCACTGATCAATGCAAAGCTGACATTATAACATCTGTGGGTGTAACTAGTGAACAAAGCACAACGTGCCTTCAGAGAAGGACATCTTTCTTGACTGCATGGTCTTTGAAATATGCTGAAACAGCCGTGCTGTCATTTACTGTAACAGTGACACAGTGCCGACAGAAATTTAGAGGGCAAGTCCCAGCAACTGCAAGAGGATAATTACTTAGTAAGAAAAGAAACACAAGAGTCTGGAGTACTGACTGTATTTCTTCAGGGATCTTTGACGCAAGACCAGTCCTTACTTGGAACGGTATATTGTCGAGCAGTACTCTAAAATGGTAACAGCTGATTTTGTCAGAAAAGGTCTGTTTCTGGGTCATGCTACTGGTTCTGGGTTAGCTTCATATTTAAAGGTTTTTAGGAGTAACGCTAGGCTTGCTACTGTGAGTCCACATACCTTGAGGTAACACGGATTATGTGGGGGAGGTTCTTTTTCTATAGAGGTTGAGGAGGAGAGGTTTGCAGTGAAAATCTTATTTTATTCCTATCTTCCTGCTAGAAAACAGGAAATAATAGATAAAGAAATGCCTAAACACTTACAATGGCTATAGTGAAAGTAGGTTACTTTTCAGTGGACTGACTAGGTATTGCTCAACCTGAGCTTAAGAGCAAAAGAATCAGTTTAATGCCTCATCTTTCAGCAAGGGAGTCATGGATATTTATAATGCAAGTGTGAAAAATATCTTGAACAACTAAATTAAATGGTCATTTAGCAGCGCTTCCTGAGGATATAGTAGATAATAACTATGTGCTTCTGCTCAGGATATGCTTAGTATCACTGTAATTATGTGTACTACAGTTCTTACAGAAAATTATGTTGTCCCTCTTATGCTTTATATCGTGCTTGTTTCTTTACAATTCTGTATGTTATACTAGTTAAAGCAACACAACTTTTGTAACTGTCACAGAAGAAAGTCGGTCAGTGGCCCACCCTAGACTTTTGAAGACCATTGTTCAGATCCTAAATCTATCACAGATTTCTTGAGCCTGGCATTGGCTAAGGCTTTAAACACCCCTGCACGTCCATTGACCTTTGAAAAATGGGAAGAGAAGTGCTTCCTCGCTTCTTAGGAACAACAAGAATAAATTTATAAGTACAATGAGAAGCTGAAGTACTATGTAATGCAGGTCATAAAAATACCACACTGACAATAAAAGTGTGTTGTCAGAGGTTTCCCTTGAATCTCTGAGTCTCTCTGGAGCCACTGGTAGCTCATCAGCACATCCAGTGCAAGGTAGAAAATCTGCACTGTTCTGCTTAAATTGGAGCTGTTATCAAGTTAGTGAGGGCACTCGACCATGATAAAATTGCTAGATAATGCTGAACTGGATGTCAAAAAGCTTTTCCTTTATGCTACATTCTGGAATTATAACCCTGGGCTCCTCATGCCCTTTACTTATAATGATTTTGACTTTAAAAAAAAAAAATTGAGCATATAGCAAGGTACTCACTATGTTGTTATTAGTCCAGATATTCATATTATGAAGGGTAGAAGGGAACTATCCCTCTCCCTAGAGCACCCACTGATATTTTCAATGGCACAACCTGTGGTTAATTTTTCCCATATGTAGACAGACATATTCTGGGCTCAGACGTGACACAATGTCATATCATGCAGAGATAATTGGGTTAGTTTGCTGTGAAAATTGCTGGTTGGATGCCTAAGCTAATTAACTCTGCTGGGAAGAATTGCGTACTAGCTTGGAAGAGTCCAAACTTAAGGCAACTTAACCGGTTCTCACATCTTAACTAGCTCATCCAAAGCTAACTCTGTAACCTCTACATGGCAGAGCACTGAGTTTTATGAATTTATCCTGGAAAGAATAACATTCCCATATCAGGCTCTAGGATTAGTACAGAAGGAAAAAGGTCTGCCAACTAGAAGAGAAACTTTGGTGTATAAATAAATACCAGTTTATACAGAATAGATATGGTTATCCTTATAGTTGCTGTTTAGAAAGTAGGCAGCTACAGTCATCATAACACATACAAAATTAAATGATCCCATCAGTTTAAATCTGTTCAACCTTACTGATGACAGTGAAGTAAGGGGTATGGATGATAAAAGCAAATTATCTAGTTTGTTACTCTAGTAACCAGTCTTCCACCACCAAATTTGGTCTTTACTCCTTACTGAAATGCTGAATAGATTTTTAAGAGGTCACATCTCTTGCTGGCCAACTCTGCTGTCTGCAGAGATTTTTTCCAGGGGAAATGTGAATTGCCCTCCTTAAGGAGCTAGTTAGTAGGATGAAAACACAAGCCTTCCAGATGCCCCATGGCAAATGGCTGAGGTGCTTTCTTTTCATTATTGTAAATTCCATGCAGACAGGAATAATGTGGGTGAGTTTTGTTTCCCTTTTGGTGTAGACTTAATCCTTGCAAAAGCAGACAGATGAATCCTTGTTTGGAATAAAAGTAGTTTCCTCACAAATAGCCATTTAAAATTCATCCAAGAAAAAAAGCAATCAAAAAAAAAAGGTGGGGGGTGGCACCTTTCTTTTTCTTCTCCAGACTACTAGAACATAACTTTGTTCATTTGGGGCAACGAACTTTTTCATATTGCAGCAGAGAGAGGTGCCTACCTCCTTCACCCCCCAAAAAGTCTGCTTTGTGGCGTACTTCCACCGTTTATTACCTATGGAGAGTTATGGTTAAAGGTATCGGCATTTAGCCATGAAATGTGTTTCATGGATCCAGCTTCAGTCTTGGTGGCTCTTTGCCCACAGCAGAAAACCACCACACATTTGAACAGAGCTGGCAGCCGCAGCTTAAGAGAGAGAGACATTACTGGAATAACAACTGTGTTGAAAGCCAGGACTGAGGGGTACTGGCAAGGCTCTGCCTGGCTGGCCTCTGCCTTACATAACCGTTGAACTCACCTTCACTGGGGAGGGGGGGAAGCTATTAAAATTTACTTTGAGAAACCTAATCAGGTAAATAACCATATAACTTACTGGGGAAAGTAAATATTGAAGATTAGTTAAATG